TTGCCTGCAACTAGTAGTGATGTGAGTGAATTTAAGGCCAGCAAAGGTTGGTTTGAGAGAATTAAGAACCATAATGAGGCTGCCAGTTTGGACCACAAAGCGGATGAAAAATATGTTCATGAATTCAAGGAGTACATAGAGGCTGAAGGACTGAAACCTGAACAAGTGTTCAATTGTGATGAAACAGGCCTATTTTGGAAGAAAATGCCAAAGAGGACCTACATTACACAGGAGAAGGCACTGCCATGACACAAGCCTATGAAAGACAGGCTGACACTCATGTTCTGTGCTAATGCTAGTGGGGATTTCAAAGTGAAGCCGTTACTAGTGTACCATTCTGAAAATCCCAGAGTATTCAGGAAAAACAATGTTATGAAAAGTAAATTGTGTGTGCTTTGGAAATCTAATAGTAAGGCATGGGTCACGAGGGACATTTTCGTCAAGTGGTTCAATGAAGCGTTTGGCCCTAGTGTGAAGAATTACCTCCTGGAAAAGAAATTGGATCTCAAGTGCCTCCTAGTAATGGACAATGCACCTGCTCATCCTCCAAACTTGGATGACCTAATTTTCGAGAAGTTTGAGATCATCACAGTAAAGTTCTTGCCCCCGAATACCACTCCTCTCCTCCTGCCCATGGACCAGCAGGTCATTGCAAACTTTAAAAAACTCTACACCAAAGCAATGTTTCTAAGGTGCTTGAATGTGACCTCAGACACTCACTTGACCCTAAGAGATTTTTGGAGAGAACACTTCAGCATCCTCCACTGCATAACCCTTATAGGTACAGCTTGGAAGGAAGTGACTACCAGGACTTTGAACTCTGCTTGGAGAAAATTGTAGCCAGATTGTGTCGACAAGAGGGATTTTGAAGGATTTGGGGCTGACCCTGATGAGCCTATGTCTGTTGTTAAATCTATTGTGGCACTGGGGAGTCCCATGGGGTTGGATGTGAGTTTGGAGCATGTGGAAGAGTTGGTGGAAGACCACAAAGAAGAGCTCACCACTGAGGAGCTGCAAGAGCTTCAGCAGGAAGAGCAACAGATTGCAGCTCAGAATCTTGCTGCAGAGGAGGAGGAAGAGAGATGGAAGAAGGTGCCTTCTTCAGAAATTAAGGAGATTTTTGAAATGTGGGGTAAGATGGAAAGATTTATGGAGAAACATCACCCTGACAAGACTGTTGCAAGCCATGTTGGCAACATGTACAGTGACAAAGTCTTGGCCCATTTTAGGGAAGTGTAAAAAGAGACACCAGAAACAGAGCTCTCTGGACAGTTATTTTGCGAGACGGGACTCCAGTCACTCTCAAGCTGGTCCTAGTAGCATTAAGAAACAGAGAAGAGAAGTAACCCCAGAAAAGCAATTGGTAACTGAGGTGTTGATGGAAGGGATTCCCCTTCCAAACTGTAAATAATCCAATCTCTCTCCTCCTTCAGTCTTCCATACACTAAGAAGAATCGCCAATAAAGGTAGGTGTTATGCTGTTAATGTTTCATTCATCATGTGTCATTGTACTGTTTATGTACTACATCTATATTTCACGTAAAAAAATTTTTTGTTTTAATACTTCTGGGTGTCAGGAACGGATTAATTGTATTTACATTATTTCTTATGGGGACAATTGATTCGAAAATCGTAGATTTCAATAATAGTAACACCTCCAGAAATGGATTAATTGCGATAAATGAGGGACCACTGTATTTGTGTATACCTGAATAAACTTATTTATTTATAAATTTAAATGTAAATATTTCTTATTTAAAAATTAAAACGTAAATATTTCTTATTTATAAATTACATACATTGTTTAAGTGTGATGGGGATGGTGGCCAAAGCCTCCACCGCCACCAACACGGCTTCTCTCAGTGGCGGCCCTTAAACCCAACAACAACACTTACACCATTTACTCCTCTCATACATTATGACATATTTTATTCATTCTAGAGTATATATCATGTTTCTATGTTATTAATATTGTTTATAATGTCATATTAGATGAATTGTGATAGATAAATAAGCCGTAGAGATGATATTAGCGTCATATTGAAGCATAATAAACTCGCCTTCGTCTTGCCTCCTATCTACCTCCTACAGCAACAACAATCAATGAAGGTTAAGTGTGATGTTAAATGTTCATTTATCCATTTTATTAGTGCTTTATATTTATTTGTCATTGCTTTCTGTATGTAAATCTATATTTAATCTTTAAAAAAATTATTTTTTTGCTAATACTTTTGACTGTCTGAAACGGATTAATTGGGTTTCCATTATTTCTTATGGGGAAAATAGATTCGCCAATCGTGAATTTCACCAGACGGCAGACTCTCTGGAACGGATTAATCACGAAACTCGGGGGTCCGCTGTATTACAATATTGCAGTAGTCTGCATAACAGTAAATCTTCTATTTTTTGTTTGAATAAAAATTCAAAATAGAAAGCAAGACTAATATCAGAGGGGCCTCGAGACATGACTGACGAACAAAGAAAATGTTATTTTAGAGCCAGGAATGTCTGCATTATTCATTCTGGACCCTATTTTGAAATTGGCATATTTTTTAATTTGTGTGAAATTGGCCAAATTGCAAATTTCTGACCACATTATTGGGTAGTTGAAATCTGTAAATGGGCAGTTTCTTTTAATCAGTCAATAGAACAAATGGAGTTCTAAAGAAATAGCTATGAGTTTGGTCGACTGGAGCAATGGAATTAGCCGAAAATAGGGCTCAAAGTGAGTGAAATCGCTGATTCGTAAATATCGCCGAGGTTGCTAACTTTGTGAGAGCATAATTCCATAAGTTTTTCATCAAATTTTGTTCTTTTGGTGTTATTACCATCATTTCGTAAGAAAAAATAATTTTTTTTTTTATTCAAAAATTTTTAGACACCAGGAGACACCTCAGGATTTGGGGTTGTGACAGTCAAGGGGTTAATGTGCCCAAGAGTAATTATTATTACATACTATTAGTATTACTATGGAGTTGAGACTAGAGGGACACTGAGTGAACGAGTAACAAAGGCATGTTTATATGCTAGGTAATGTGTTTCTTACATAATTTTGAAGAAAACATCATAGATGGATTAATGAAACTGTCTATATAGTGGACCCCCGACTTACGATGGCCTCAACCTACGATAAAACCAACTTATGATACTTGTCAGCGTAAAAAATTGACCCCAACCTACGTTGAAAAACTAGACTTACATCATTCGTCCTGAATGTGGCTGTCTTTTCCGTCTGGCCTGAGCACCTCAGCTGAGGTAGTGTGAGACTGTTTACAAGCCAGGGCGGATGTTTGCATGCATACATTCGATAAATTTTGTATTATTCCAGTGTTTATTGTGCTTGTAACTGCTAAATAAGCCACCATGGGCCCAAAGAAAGCTTCTAGTGCCAACCCTGTGGTAAAAAGAGTGAGAAATACTATTGAAATACTATCGTACCACAGTCAGCTGCTGCTATACCATGGTCAGCCATACTACTCGATGTGGAGAGACTGTTGTTGATGTGGCTTATCAAGAATACCAAGAAACAATTAACCCCAGAGGGTTAGCCACCCAGGATAACCCAAGAAAGTCAGTGTGTCATCGAGGACTGTCTAGCTTATTTCCATTGGGGTCCTTAATCTTGTCCCCCAGGATGCGACCCACACCAGTCGATTAACATCCAGGTGAACAGGAAAAAATGCCTGGAACTAATGCTCATATTGGTGAATTTAAGGCCAGCAAAGGTTGGTTTGAGAGACTTGAGAATTGTAGTGGCATACACAGTGTGATAAGGCCTGTTCTGGAAGAAAATGCCAAACAGGACCTACATTACTTAGGAGGAAAAGGCACTCCCAGGACACAAACAATGTCTTATCACTCATCACCATATCTTCAATAAAGGTGTCATTTATTCTTCATTTAGTACACTAGTACATGCGCAATATATATTGTCCATGTATCCTTCTTTTTGTGTGTAGGAAAATGTACATTTCATGTGGTAAAATTTTTTTTTTCATACTTTTGGGTGTCTTGAACGGATTAATTTGATTTCCATTATTTCTTATGGGGAAAATTAATTTGACTTACGATAATTTCGTCTTACGATGTGCTCTCTGGAATGGATTAATATCGTAAGTTGGGGGGTCCACTGTATTACGTAAAATAAGACATTTAATTAATGTGCCCAAGAGTGAGTCACGAACGTATGAGTGGCCCAGGTGGACGCGTCTGGTACCATTAATTTCCGAGCCGATGTATAAAACCTGGAGGGAAATTTCGCTGATAAAAGTTCTTGAAATCTGAACTGTACGATTTCCACATCGGTAGAAAACCAAGGTCCACTGTACTCGACTGTAGCCACCAAAAATTCTGGGGAAGGTATACTGTTATATACAGTATTACTATTCAAGACACATCTGAATAATAAAGTGTAGTACAGTATTAGAGTTGTAAAGAATTCTTTTGTTAACTGTTGCTACATTATGTAGAGAAATTTTTGTTTCATCAAAATGGCCATGTCCCACCAAGGCAGGGTGACCTTAAAGGAAAAACGAAATTTTTTCTTCTTAAATTTAGTAATGTAAAGGAAAAGGGATTACTAGCCCCTTGCTCCCGGCATTTTAGTCGCCTTTTATGACATGCATAGTTCGTGGAGGAAGAATTCAAACTTCTATTTTTAATCCTTTTTTTATCTCGTTTCAACAAAAAAATAATAGAAAATTCGCTTATAAACACACTGAAAACAACATACAACAGAATTTTCCTGTAATATATTTGTCAGTTGCAAACTATTTTAGTGTAATGTTGATGAAGTCATACGTCTGGCAGTAAGCAACTGGAGGGGACTGCAGCTCTGCAGCTCCTATGGACGAGCCGCCACTGGTTAAAAGTGTATAGTGTAAGAGAGAAGTTTCATTAAAGATCTGAGTGAAGGTGCATCAAGCTCATAGCATTTTCAAGTAGTTGTTAGCCTTGGCATGTAAAATATTTGATCTTGAATAAATCATTTAAAAACTTACCTTAGATGCTGTGTGATACTATTGGAACGTTTCATGGAGTTAAAGGACTCCTGTGTGTCTGTTGAAGTTCGTCTAGTCTGCAAAGGAAATATTTTCATTTAACTTGACATTTCAGAATCATAACTGAAGGAGAACTGCTATAAAATCACAATATAAAACTAAAATAAACCTGTCTACCATAATAAGAGCAGTCAAACAAGAATGGAGTTTCAATCCTCACAGACACAACTTAGCCAGTACAAACCTCTTCATATGCATTAACTGACCCCATACATGGCTCTGATGCCTGGCCAATTATTATTATACAGCAGGCCATGTTTCTGTGGTGGCTGTTAGGTTCCTGACACCTGCTGATAAGCAAAAAATTGCCGGCGAGTGGAAAGAGAATTTTTTCAATACAGAACGCGTCTAAAATGCCTGATAATGTGTTTACACAATCATACATTAAGTGCTCAATATAGCTAGGAATAAAATATGCAAAAGTAAAATAAATACACAGTACACACAATATTTACCTTAAAATATGGCACTGGTCTCTTTCCCTTACGCAACTGTTGTGCAAAAACAGCGGAAAAGTGATAAAAGCGCCAAACATAATGAACAATGGCTCAATTAAAAACAGCCAAAAAAGAGGGACACAAAAAGAGGGAGCTAAAAATGAAGGGCCCTCCTGCACTTATAGGGAAGCACTAAACCCATAAGGGCCATACAGCACCTAAGGAATGGAGGTAATCAGGTTAGATTCCACTATGAAACACATAGTACCAGTTCTTTGATTCAAAAGTTTTCTCAAGCCAAATGCTCAACATATTCTTTGATTCAATCAATTCAATGTACATTATTAGTACTTAGAACTGCTGCCTGATTATCTGGGTAAATTCAAACACTTGAGAAAAAAAAAAAATTGAAGTGACATAGGTTTCCACCATTGTAATCACTTACACAAGCTTAGGGAATAATCCACAAATAACCCACACACTGGAGAATAACACAAGACACAGATCACTCTTTGATGTTCCCTGTGTCCGTTTCACACTAAGTAAAAACTCTATGCACATAAAGGGCCCAAAAATTTGAAATTCATTACCAGTGAATACCAAAGGAACCCTGTCTGTACATCAATTCAAGACTAATTAAAAATCATTTACTCACCCAAAACTAAATACTCAGTACTTAACTCAATCTACAAAGCTACCAAATCACTCTTCACCACCTCAAAATATCATTGTTCACTGTGTTACTCCCCTAGCCTCAGAACCCCAAAAGTAAATGCTCAAAGTACAATAAATTCTCATATTTTAACCTAATGCAAATGTTGAACAACATATATTTTAATAACCTAATGTATAATTAGTGCAACCTGATCAAACTAGGTTCTGTACATCTAGTATTAAGTATTCAGTAATCTATTCAGTTTAGACTGCCCGTAATATCAAAGCATATTGTTTTTGTTATTTTTATTACAGTAGGGCCCCGCTTTATGGCGTTTCGCTTTATGGCATTCCGCTAATACGGTCATTTCAAATTATGACCAAAACTCGCTATACGGCTCCCCCCACCTGACTTTCTAATACGGTCATCGCGCCCCACCCAGTTTGTTTACATTCTCTGTGAGATCCGTAAGCACTAAGTCTCTCCATTTTGTCTGGAAACTCCAAAATTTCAAGTGTTTTTAAAAGTTATTTCATATTTTATATATACTCTGATAATTATACTTATGTATACCTGTACCTAAATAAACTTATACACTGTGCTGGCGTGCAGGTACACATTAAAATCAGCAAGAGTGTCTTATGTCTCCAGACGTCATATTAGTAATGATAATAATAATCACCGAGTCTCATTTAAGTGTTGTATATTACGTTAATATACACATTTTCATTAATCCATCTATATTTTTTCAAAATTATATAATAAACACGATGCATAACATATAAATATGATAAATACACCCCACAGTAGAATAAACAAACATAAATATGAGATGTCGTAGCCAGATAACTTGTACAAGTGATGGCAAGAATAACATTTTCTCTAATTTAACATAAAGAGAAAATAGATTATCATAAATAACAGCATATGTGTAGAGAACTCAGGATAACCCAAAAAATTCAGAGTGACTTATTACCATTGCCTTCACTCAGAACGTCATTTCTTCTCAAAATGATGTTACACGAGAATTCAATTCAATTCAAGTTTATTCTCTATAATGGTTACAATGTGGGGTTTACAGGTTTTGGGTATTTTGTGGTTTACATGTTATAAAATACTAATTGCAGAGGGGGCCACTAGGACACCTAGCATGGCTAGGCATATCAAGCAGACTTAGATTAATTCTTAACATTAAGTCCTTACAGATTATAGTATTAAGGCTAAGTGACTACATCATAATTTTGAGTTTAGCAATGTGAATGCTTTTGTTTTGGCACAATACAAGGTGTCTATATTTGAGTAACATTGGCAAACTTATGACTAGTTAGGATTTATTATTTTAAGATTAAGATTAGTATTTCTGGGTTTATAGTCAGTGGGTGAGTGAGTGTAATTTTGAACCACCAGGTGGTTATCATGTAGTTAGTTGTCGGGGTGGATCAGGGAGATAAGATGGTTTTCTAACTGTAGTTTTGAAAGTGATGAATGTGTCTGCAGTTCTAGAGTTTTCGGGTGTTCCAGATTTAAGGTCCTTTGAAATACATTGAATTTTTGTGAAGGTTTAGTCGAACTCGGGGAATGTCATAGAGATGTTTGTGTCTGGTGTTATGCCTGTGGATCCTGTCACAACTATCAAGAAAGCATTTTAGGTCAAGGTTAATATTGGAATTTAAGGTCCTGTAGATATAGATTGCACAGTAGTAAGGGTGGATGTTATGAACAGGGAGTAAGTTTAGATCTATGAAGAGTGGGGGGGGGGGGGTGTTGCCAGGGATGGGATTTAGTGATTATTCTTACTGCGGCTTTTTGTTGGGTTATTATTGGCTTTAGGTGTGTTGCTGCAGTTGAACCCCAAGCAGAGATAACATAGGTGAGGTATGGATATATAAGTGAATGGTATAGTGTGAGAAGGGCAGTTTGCGGTACGTAGTATCGTATCTTGGAGAGGATCCCCACCGTTTTGGATACTTTTTTTGTTATGTGTTGGATATAAGTGCTGAAATTTAGGTTGTTGTCGAGGTATAGGCCAAGGAATTTGCCCTCATTATGTCTGGCAATTAGAGAGTTGTCAATCTCAATGTTAAGTTGCACAACACCTGCTCTGCTACCAAACATAATACAGTGGACCCCCGCATACCGTTGGCATCACATAACGTTAAATCCGCATACCAATACATTTTATCGCTAAGATTTTGCCTCACATACCGCTAAAAAACCCGCTCAACACTATTCGTCCGAAACGCGTCTAATGTGCGGCCTGAGCCAGCCTCACATGTTCTGCCGGTGGCATTGTTTACAAGCCAGCCTCCGTGGTAACATCCAAGCATACAATCGTAACATTTCATATTATTACAGTGTTTTTGGTGATTTTATCTGCAAAATAAGTGACCATGGGCCCCAAGAAAGCTTCTAGTGCCAACCCTGTGGTAAAAAGGGTGAGAAATATTATCGAAATACTGTGGTACCATGGTCAACTGCTGATGCTGCTGCTGCTGTAGCACTGTCAGCTGCTGCTGCTGCTGCTGTAGCACCGTCAGCTGCTGCTGCTGCTGCTGTACCACTGTCAGCTGCTGCTGCTGCTGCACTGTCAGCTGCTGCTGCTGCTGTAGCACCGTCAGCTCCTGCTGCTGCTGTACCACCGTCAGCTGCTGCTGTTGCTGCTGTAGTACCGTCTGCTGCTGCTGCTGCTATAGTACCGCCTGCTGCTGCTGTAGCATCGTCTGCTGCTGCTGTAGCATCGTCTGCTGCTGCTGTAACACTGTCAGCTGCTGCTGCTGCACTGTCAGCTGCTGCTGCTGCTGTACCACCGTCAGCTGCTGCTGTACCACCATCAGCTGCTGCTGCTGTTGTAGTACCATCTGCTGCTGCTGTAGCACTGTCAGCTGCTGCTGCTGCTGCACTGTCAGCTGCTGCTGCTGCTGTAGCACTGTCAGCTGCTGCTGCTGCTGTAGCACTGTCAGCTGCTGCTGCTGCTGTAGCACTGTCAGCTGCTGCTGCTGCTGTAGCACTGTCAGCTGCTGCTGCTGCTGTAGCACTGTCAGCTGCTGCTGCTGCTGTAGCACTGTCAGCTGCTGCTGCTGCTGTAGCACTGTCAGCTGCTGCTGCTGCTGTAGCACTGTCAGCTGCTGCTACTGCTGTACCACTGTCAGCTGCTGCTGCTGCTGTAGTACCGTCTGCTGCTGCTGCTGCTGCTGTAGTACCGTCTGCTGCTGTTGTAGCATCGTCTGCTGCTGCTGCTGTAGCACCGTTGTTGGTGTGGCTTATTGAGAATACCAAGAAACAATTAACCCCAGAGAGTTAGCCACCCAGGATAACCCAAAAAAGTCAGTGTCATTGAAGACTGTCTAACTTATTTCCATTGGGGTCCTTAATCTTGTCTCCCAGGATGCAACCCACACCAGTCGACTAACACCCAAGTGAACAGGGAAAAACGCCTGGAACTAGTGCTCATATTGGTGAATTTAAAGCCAGCAAAGGTTGGTTTGAGAGATTTAAGAATCGTAGTGGCATACACAGTGTGATAAGGCCTGTTCTGGAAGAAAATGCCAAACAGGACCTACAGTACTCAGGAGGAAAAGGCACTCCCAGGACACAGTGTCTCATCAGTCATTGCTGCATCTTCAATAAAGGTGTCATTTATTCTTCATTTAGTAGAGTAGTACATGCACAATATATATTGTCCATGTACTACTCTACTATTGTGCATGTATCCTTCTCTTTGTGTAGGAAAATGTATATTTCATGTGGTAAAATTTTTATTTTCATACTTTTGGGTGTCTTGCACGGATTAATTTGATTTCCATTATTTCTTATGGGGAAAATTCATTCGCATAACGATAATTTCGCATAACAATGAGATCTCATGAACAGATTAATATCGTTATGCGGGGGTCCACTGTATAGTAGGTTTTGCCAGTGTTAAGTT